TCTCAGACTGTCCTCTGAGGCTATTGAGTCACGCTACTCCAGGGGGCCTCATGCTGACCGTTGACGTCCACCGCTGACTGCAGTGGCCACGCTGAGGTCCTGGAAGGGGTCTTCCACGTGCCGGTGGAGCTGCAGCTCCACCCGCAGCAGCGGGCCAGGTCATGGGGTGCCCTCTGCCCGGTGAAGAAACCACACTGAGACTGGAGGCTTTAAAACCCACCTTCTGGCTCATCTCTCATGGCCTTTGGGGTGACCCCCCCAACCCTTTCACAGAAGAGCCAATGTGTCCGACATCTGGGGACGGTTAACCAAGGCCGGAGATGGGCCTTGATGGGCTCTTGACACCCCAGACTTCAGCTGCAGGAGGGGGGGACCTCCCCAAGAGGGGTGCGTCCACGGCCACAGGCCACGAGGGGCCCGGTGTGTGCAGGACCCAGTGTGGGGGGCGTGGGGGGCACAGCCAGACAGATGCATTTCCAGGGCCACTGATGAGAAAGAACATGAGCCCGGCCGCAGACGGCACAGGCCAGGCACACTGTTCACCATGGCGCAGGAAGCATTGTCCACCAGTGTCCATTCCCCCGCAGTCCCCCGTGCACCCAGCCCCAGTCCAGAGGGGCCCAGGCACTCGGCAGGTGACCTCTGGCCCTGGAAGATACACTTCGGTAGTGGCGGGAGTCGGGTGGGGCTGGGGTCCCCATCCTCCATCGGGCTGAGAGCCAAGGTCAGCGGCATCAGAGCCCACCGCCTCTGTGACCTCAGGAGAGGTCAGTCACCCTCTCCCCCACCCCACCATCTGCCTCCCGGATCTGGGACTTCCCCTTCCTGACAGCTGGCAGAAACGTGCTCTTCCAAGTGTGGTCTTACTCAGCCTGGCTCAACTTCACGTTCCTGAGAGGGACCACAGGCTGTAGGTAGGGGACAAAGCAGAGGACCTCGGATGACCCGCACAGAGGCTGAAATCAAAGGCAAAATGGTTTTGTTTTTTTTTAAAACCTATTTTGACTCAAGTAAAACAATGTATCTGTGATGACCTCTAACTTTATGCTTGGGTCTTATCTTCAGCTATGGATACTGTTTCTGCTTTCTACCCACAGGAACTTCAGGAAACTTTAGACCTCCTAGAGTCTTTGCAAGAAAGGCAGGTTACTTCCACCCGGGGGTGAAGTCATGAAGTTTGCCAGGGGCCAGAGGGCGCGAGTTGGTGGAGCTTGGCTGGTGGGCACGGTGGATGTGGCCCCAGCAGAACACTGGAATGGAGGCCACACCTGGGCCTGCCCAGGGCTCAGCCATCAACAAGGACCACCAAAGGGGCCTAGGTGCCCAGCTCAGCAGAGGCCGGGCCTGGGCATTTGAGACACACGTGTACCGGGCCCTCCCACGCTGCAGCCTCGTCCTGGGGCACAGACAGGAAAGACCAGCTTTGGAGAGTAAGTTAGGAGCGAGCCCTGAAAACCACGCTCCACATGAAGGGATACCTGCTATGTCGAAAGTTCCACGTGGGAACGGGCAGAGCCGGGCTCACGCAGGAAGGCAGGCAGGGACAGGCCCGGGCTCCGAGGTGTGCCAAGTAGATCATTTCCTGGGCAAAGGAAACCACTCAAAAGGAGGAGAAAGGTCTGTGAAGACAGGGAGATTGCAGCCAGATCTGTAAGGCCGAGTGATGAGGGCTGAGACCCCTCGAGCCGCGAGAGAGTGCGGGTCCCTAGCAGAAAGCAGAGAATGTGCTCTTTCCCCTTCCCAAGGGACAGAACTGCCACAGCTAGTCAAAATGGCAGCGGTGACAGGGAGGCCGCCGGCCAGCAAGCGAGCCTCTGCAAGGCTGGTTGGAAAGTCACCCCAGGGTTTAGTTTTGCCAGTGCCCAGGCCCCCTTACAGAAACCACAGGCTTGCTTCTCGGGAAGCACGCCGGACCTGGGGCAGTCCTGTCCAGAGGATTAGTACCAGAAACAAATCTGTCCCCGTGAATAAGAAGATCCTCAAGGCCACTCAGCTGGGCTTGGCAAGGGGACCACACTTCGTCTTGCCCAAGGCTGAAAGGATCGGAGTCTGTCCGGTCCTGCAGAGGCCCGGAGGTGCGGGGGTGGCTGCAGGTGGCAGAGGCTGCTCTGGGGAGGAGGGATCAGAAGGCGGGGCTGGAAGCGTGAAGAGATCCGCTGCTCTGTTCAGCCACCAACGCACACATGGCTCAACTGCTATGCTTTCCTTCAGGCTTGGGGGCCTGCAAAAACGGATTAAAAAAAACAAGTGATTAGCAAGGTGAAAGAAAAACATTGCTGAAGAGTTCAGACGCAACGAGAGGTCTACAAAGAGCAAGCTGTGGGCTCTGGTCCCAGCCCATGGGCCCTGAGCCTGGGCGGGCATCAGTTCCCATCTTGCAGGAGGCCAACTTTCAGGGTGAGACATGGCTGGACTCTTCCCAAAGCTCTGCACAAAGGTCACCCAGGGGTCACCCTGGGGCACACCAACCTCCTATGCCTGACTTACACTGCTGGAAGTCTCCTTCCTGCCCAGCTTCATCGTCAAGAATCTGGAGTTTATTTGACAATCTACAAAAGCTTATACGTGGGGGCAGAAATCACTCCCCCTGTGTGTGCCCAGGTAGGTGCAGCCATTGTTCAAATGCAAGGCCACAGGGCCTTGAGCCCCCCTACACACACACACACACTCACTCACACTCACACACACACACACACATGGCGAGAGGGACTTGCTTGGCTCTTTTGTTGTTGCTTCTGCAAGAAGGGCAGCCATGAGCGGGCGCCGGTGGCTCACGCCTGTCACCCTAGCTACTCAGGAGGCTGAGATCTGAGGATCACGGTTCAAAGCCAGCCCGGGCAAGGAAAGTCTGTGAGAATCTTTTTTTTTCTTTTCTTTTCTTTTTTGGTACTGGGGATCGAACCCAGGATGTTGCACTCGCTAAGCAAGTGCTTTGCCACTGAGCTACATCCCAACCCATGGGAGACTCTTTTTTTTTTTTTTTGGGTCCAGTCATGGGGCCTGAACTCTGGGCCTGGGTGCTGTCCCTCAGCTCTTCAGCTCAAGGCTAGCACTCTACCACTTGAGCCACAGCGCCACTTCCGGCTTTTTTCTGTTTGCTTATGTGGTGCTGAGGAATCGAACCCAGGGCCTCACGCATGCAAGGCAAGCGCTCTACCACTGAGCCACCTTCCCAGCCCCCATGCGAGACTCTTATCTCCAATAAACCACTAGAAAACCAGAAGTGGTGCTGTGGCTCAAGAGGTAGAGCACTTACCTTGAGCTGAAGAGTGCAGCGACAGCTCCCAGGCCCAGAGTTCAAGACCCATGACTGACCAAAAAAAAAAAAAAGAAGGGCAGCCATGGTCCCTAAAGACATAACTGTAGCCCAATACAGCAGACATGGAGTTACCCCCAGATCCACTCAAGATTCTGGAAGGCCCTTTTTCCCAGACCCACACCTGCTAAACCCAGGGACAAAATCTTCCCAAAGCAACAGCATTTCTCATCCTCAAAACATAAGTCAGGGGGTTTCATGTGAGACCACCCGCCAGTCCCCAGCGGTGCCTTGGAACTGCACACCCCATGGTCCCCATCAACACTTCCACAGCGGAGGACTTAAGGCTGGCGTGTACTCTATTCTTCCATGTGGATAAAGTAGCCTTTACCAAAACAATACGCTGAGCATTTTATCTCCAGTAATTGTCTTTCAGAGATATAATAAATAACCATATAGACAAAACACTGCACATACCCTTATGATCGCTCTGGGTCATGGTTTGAAGGTTTTTGATAGCAATCACCGTTTCCATCCATAGAGATGTCTGGTTGTTGTCCTCGCCAGCCTGCATAAGGACACTTTTAATAACTGTCTGCCACAATCAGGTGTGGAGGGTGCTCTACACACAGTGGGCCCAGAGTGCTTGGAGGGAGTCTGTTTGAAAGGAAACGACACCTGGACTCACCATTAGATGGCGCCGCTTGCAAAGCTTTTCGCATTTTAGCAGTCCGGAAAGGAGCAAGACTTGTTTCACCGGAGGGAAATAGAAGTACATATATACCAAAGCAAATGTACAGGAATAAGTCTAGGAACTTACCCGTCAAAAGTAGGTGCAAATCGACAGTGGCAGGCTGTGGTGCCGGAGAACTATCTCGGGGCTCTGTCCCTCTTCCTGCACACGTCTGCTGCAACTGTCCCCCCAACTGCCCAGGGCTTCTGTGCTCAGAAGGCCAGGTCCTGCCTCTCCCTCCTGTCCTGCCTGGCTCCCCAAGACCGACTCTCTGTCTCTGGTAGTGTTCTCGGTTTATTACCGTAGTGACCTTACATTCCTGAGTACCATCCATGGCTTCACTCTGTGGTTCCTATCAAAGCCTCCACAGTTTGCACGCATGGACACCTATACGGAAGAGGCACCATGCACGTGTGCCCCTGCAGGGGGTGGCTGCGGGGGCTCCTCTCTGAGCTTTATAGATAGTTGTCTTACTTGTGAAACCAAAATAAGGTCTAAAAGTAAATAAGCCACAGGTAAAAGGAGCCAGAATGTAAATGTACTGTATGTAAAGACAAGTCACAAGCAGCAAGACAGAGAGAAATCGTTTGTATATGCACTCATCCACTTGAATCCAGGGCCTGGGTGCAGTACCTCGGCTTTCTCACACAGGGTTAGTGCTCTACCACTTGAGTTACAGCTCTACTTCGAGCTCTTTGATGACTTACTGGAGGTAAAAGTCTCACAGACTTCTCTGCCCGGGCTGGCTTCGAACCTTAATCCTCAGATCTCAGCCTCCTGTGATAGCTAGGATTCCACACATGAGCCACCGATGTCTAACAAAGGGGACAGCTTTTTAAATCTTCCCTGAGTCACCACGTACACATTACACAGTACTGCGAGTTAATGTTTGTGTGACGTTTCCTCTTCTCTGCTTCTGGCTACTTGGGCTACAAACATTTCTACTTGTCTCCTTGTTGCAGACAAATGAATGACCAGCATTCTGGGATGGAGGGAGGAGAGGGGTCCGGAATGGCCAGTCCGGTCAGTCATTGGCTGAACATTCCTGCCATGGATCTCCAAGTCCAGCTGGGCCATTCTTGGCTTCAGCGAGAAGTCCAGGGATGGAGGCTGTCTGACCTCTACCTGCCATGGCTGTGCATCAGAACTCCAGAGTTCACCTCTAGACGCATCTGCCCTGCAGATTGCTGCTGTTCATCTCTGGGTTCTAAATTCCCACAGGTGTGCCCTGGGCAGCTGTGGCCCACTGCCTTGGCCTGCTCCAGCATCTAGTGAGCTTTCCCCGGAGCCCAGGAGGAGAAGCGCAGAAAGGAAGGCCAAAGCGACCACATCCACCCCAGACCTGTGACTAGAGATCAGGTGTCTGCTGTCCCTTCCTGCGTCCAGGCCGGGGTGGTCATGCTGTCCAGGCCGGGGTAGCCGTGCCAGCCTGCGTCCAGGCCGGGGTGGTCATGCTGTCCAGGCCGGGGTGGTCATGCTGTCCAGGCCGGGGTGGTCATGCTGTCCAGGCCGGGGTGGTCATGCTGTCCAGGCTGGGGTGGCCGTGCCGGCCTTGCCCCCCCCACGCCCCGCGGCTGCCCATGGCCTTTGTGGTTACCCTGCCACCCGCTTCGCTCCGGGAGCCGCTCGTGGCGTGGACCCGAGTTCCTGGCTCCAGCTCGGCAGGCTGGGGCCCGCGCCCGGGTCCCCGCAGGGCGGCCTGCTGCGTGCGGTGCGGGACTGGGGACAAAGCCGGGGGACCCAGCGGGGG